CTGTGTTTCAGTGTGAACTTTTTTATGAGCAGCATTAAAGGAGTTAATTTTTTTCATGTGCTTTCCTTGGGCGATAATAAAATTGACTTTTTCGCTGCTTGAGATGCGATAATTGGAGAAGCCCAAAAAATGAATTCTCCGAAAATCCGTCGTCCTATAAAAATAACTTTAGCTGTTCCTGTTAGAATACTTACTGTTGTGCAATTTTTAGCGACGACGGCATCGCCAAATATTGTGGAAGGCGCGCTGAAAGGGGGCGGACAGTTTGTTGAAAATCAAATTGGAGCACATAAAGGTCTTAATTTCTTTTTATGTTTCGGTCTTAATTCTCCTTGTGATTGATCCTTTATTTCTAGCATTTTGATGTTATTAAGCGGTAAATATCCTTTGTGTTGTAGATGAACTAATGCACACGGTGGGCGATCTCGCTGAAAAAGTCGGCGTTAGTCGTACGTTTATTATCGCTTTACCTTATTCATGCGTGTTCTCAAGCATACTGAAGATTTGGTCATGAGTTGTGATAACAATGTTGTGAGAGCGAGTGCTCGAGTATGAGTACCTACTCTGATAAATCTTATTGTATTTTCAATATTTTCATGTCTTACAAGTTGTGTTTTTCGTTGTTCTTCTCATGGCCCTTTCTTCCGTTTGCTATTTTTCCTTTTCTTCCTTCAAAAAAAGTTCATCAGCGCCAGTGACGTTTCGTTTTCACTTTTATTTTCATCCTATTCAATTTTCTTTTGCCGAACACATTATCATACAACTGTCGTACTAATGATGCCAGTCAGTAGTGAAGCTTACCACTTAATGGGCTGAGCATTCCTGTTTAGAATTATCTTTCCAATTTCAGTCTTTCCCCGTACTGTTTTGTTTTAAAAATTATCAAATCATCGTATTATCATTCTGTTCAAGGCCTTCAATCTGGACAGCTTTTAAGTTCAACCAACCAAGACGGTCGTAAATATTTTACATTTTGGTTCGAGGTTTGCTGATTAGCCGTTTGCAGTAAGCTTTTTTCATACTTCCGTGGTAGTTGGTCATTTTTCGACGAAGAATCAACGAGTACAGTCAGATACTTGCTTTGTTATCTCCTTCACTTTTCCTTTTCATCTTCTGAGTTACTTTCTCGAGTTTGATTTTGTTTTACGCCATCCGTTGACTTATGAGTTTAGCTAGTTCATTTGCTCTGTCTTTTCCTTCTTTTTTCTTTCCTACTGTTATAGGTCGTCTCTTCGGACATTAAGCTGTTTTTTATTTCCAGGCGCCGTCGCTGAAGTGATTGGTGGAAACCTGCTTCAGCAGGGAATCCAGAAGGGCAAAGAACTTTTGTCGGGACACGCAGCTGCTGAGAACATCGACAAAGCTAAAGAAAAAGCCAAGGCCGATCCAAGTCTTGACAAAGCACTACCTGGTAATTGAGTAGTTTGCTAAATTTTTCGCGTGAAGTTTTCAGTGGCACTATGATGATAAAGGCAGTAAATTGATTTTTTCACAACCAAGTTGCCCAGATATTCAGTGTGTTAATAAGGTTTCGTCGATTCTGTGGTGCATACTTCGATCCAGTGGCTATTGCCTTTCGAAGCCATCCGATTGGCTTGTATTTCTTCACTAATAATAGCTGCTAAAAAGTGGCGTCCGGCGATTGACAGCAATTGAGAAACAGGCCCTGCCTATCAAAGTTTTTTATGTTTTCGCGTCGCCGCAGTGATGTCCCTCATTTTCCTCATCTGGCGGGGAATTTCGCTGTTTATATGGTCACTAAGAAGTACCAAGCATCTCTTATTCCATTTCTCTTTCTGTCACAGCTTCTTCCTTCATCAGTGACCGTGTTTCGCATC